AATTTCACCTTTTAGAAAAGTTACGGTTGGCTAAATGAGATGATAGAGATCAATGAGTTTGCTATATAATTAGTTTCAATAAAATTTGAACTCTTAAAGTAAAAAAATGAAATTAAAAAAAATTTTAGCTTTAAAATTAAGAAAATTGTTCTCAACTAAATGAAAATTGTTCTTAACAAAAAGTTTCTTTTGGTATTGAACATTTTGATGATCTTTTTAAATTTCCGATTTATTATTAAAATAACTTGCATTTTGAAAATATTGATCTTAAAGATTGATGTTTACGTTTCCTCTATCCAAACTTTTGACTTTCACGATTTCACTTTCTACACTTCAGCATATCTCATCCAGTAGTTTCTACGTTCTTAATTGCTATGTTAAGTTTTCGACTCGGCTATCAAAGTTTTTGTTGCAGATATTGAGTGTTTTATATCACATTATTAAGAGTTGCATTATTCCATGTGTTATTAAAGAGAACTGTCAATAACGCAAAGTTGGTCAAATGGCTTTTTAATTTTGCTTTAATTGATTTTTAACTTATCACTAATTTTTAAAAAGTTCCTGTTAATTTGATGTACTACTCTCTATATGCGAGGGGCTTAAATCTATATAAATATAATATAACATAGGTGAAGTAGTCCTTTTAGTTGATTATAACCAACTAAAAGGACTTGAAACGACTACTTCACCTATATTTATTTATTTTATTAGATTTATCTCCTCGCGTATAAGAGTAGTACGTCAAATTATAGAATATAAAGCATAAAGAGTAAATTAAAACTGCATAAGTGCCAACTGTAACAACAGCTACAGATCAGTGTTACGACCTCTTCGATGTGGTATGTGAGATACATTTATTTCGCTACTCTCTAAAATATTTAGACTAATTCCCCTACTATAGATTGCTGTACCTATGTCATACATTTGATATCTAGGATGCCATAGATCTTGAAGACATACGAATACATTCTGAGGATATCAATGATATTCCTCAGCTTTGATAATGAGCTCTGATGATGATCAATTGAATAAGTGACATCTTTAAAATATCAGAATTGTTTTTTTTCTGCAGAGGGTTAAGGATTTAAAATAATTTTTAATATAGGGTGTCCCACGGAAAAGTGTTGAAACTAATCAGCTGTCATTTTCGAAGGTACTCAGTTATTAAAAAAACAAAAATTGCGCTCAAAAGAGGAAATTCTGTAATTTTTAATGAGTTTCAACACCTTCCCGTGGGACACCCTGCATATTTATTATTGTCTACAAAATGGAATACAATTAATAAGTGTACTCGCGAGATCAAACTGGGCAAAGTTTTTGAAGATATTTACTTAATCAGAAATTATTATTAATATTGATATCCCAATTCGGATGCGCGAGAAGATCATGAGTGAGAAAGATAAAGAAAAGGATGTTATCTGATATAAGAAGGAGAGAAGTCTTATTAAGGGTGGCTCTTCCACTCTCCTGAGCGCTTAAATTTCAGAACGTCGTTTTACGAAACACGGGCGACATCGTTAAAGCACGGCAGTCGAGATTAAAGGCTTCCTCGGATTCGAGAGATTTCAAGTCCAGGATTGTCCGCAATTAGTGCGGAACGAGGGGGTAAAACGGTGGCGGTGGCGACAACGACGGTGGCGAGCTCCTTTAGGAAACTACACAAAGCTTCCTGCGCGGAGGCGAAAGAAAGCAGGAACGTTAACGAGAAGAATCTCAAGATGCGTTCCGATCGTTATCGGCTCTTCTTCTTTTCTACAGGCCCTCAGCTGTCTGAAAGATGATTGCATTCGTCGCCAGAGAAACGTACAGCAGAAAGACGTCGAAAAGTTCGTAATTGATAGTTCTTCCTTGTACACGTCTCGAGTTTATCGTCTTTATGTATCATTAAGGGAGTTATTAAGAAGACGGACGGTACAGTTGACTTTCGCGATTAATTAACGTCCTTAAGCGAGATAAATGAGAGCGCAGAGATTGGAGCTTTTTATACACTCTCATGGCAGCACGATTTTTCGTTGACCTAAATAATTTCGAGTACGCTCGCGAGTACGGCTGACGAACGAGGTAATTTAATGATCGATATTACAACGCGAATAATTTTGGCTGCAAAATATATTTCTCTTTCCCGTATTGCGATATTAAATAAGGCAAAGTTTCAGTTTACGGTAATACTATAATGCATTGATTTTAATGTATAAACAACGTAATGATAAATGTACATTGATGAGAATTATTCGCGCATTTAGCTGTTTCTGAATATTCATATATTTCATATTTTTCGAATGGCGGAATCAAGTGATTATACATATATAATATTTAGAAATAAAATTTTTTTACCGTTATTATTATCATTATTATCATATCTATCACTTTTTCGCGTTTAAGATTCCTAATTAGTCACCGCGGCCATATTGAATTGTAAGGTCATAAGTGGAAATGACACATTAAAATTTCTTGTTTCTGAATGAAGAGAATTTGGATAAAACAAATAAGATTGCTTTAAATATTTAAAAATGAGTCGAAGTTTTTCTTACCTCCTCCCTAATAATCAGCAAATATAGTCGTAAATGACATAAAGTGAAAATAGATTTAAAAGCCTATAGGTGTATTTTCATTTCATGTGTCTTACGACTATATTTACTGACTGTCAGGGAAAAGGGAAGTAAGGAAAGCTTCGGCTTATTTTTATAAGTATTTTAATCTTTGGAGGACCAGAGGCCCCTTTAGGGACTTTGAATCATTTCAGTTAATTTTTAATTATTCTAACAGTATCTAATGATATTTAGTCGAAAAAATATAAGAAATGTCATTTTTTTTCGGATCGCGAAAGCCTCCCGAAGGGACTCGACAGTAGCGCCACCTTTTTCGCCACTCAACCCCATGACATTAACAAAAAAGTTCTAGCTCTTTTAAAATAAAAAAGTCGATCAAAACATACCGGTCCTCAGAAGGATCAAAAGCGATCTTATTACTTTGTTTTATCCAAATTCTCTTTATCTACAAATGGTATGCAAGAAGCTTTAATATGTTATTCTCATTTATATAACGTCATGATACAAATATAGTCATGACCAATCAGGAGCTTTACTTTAACAGAACATGCGTTATAATTTCTTTGAGCATATCCCGTATCTCATTATTCATTATATCGACTATCGAAAACAGAAGACATCATGGATTTAGAAAACATGAGAAAATGTAGAAGAGAGCCAATTTAGAAAGAAACTTTTACATCAAAAAAACATTATATCATTAAATTAATATTGTTCTAAATAGAACTTTTCTCTCTGTAGTATTTTTCCATCATCTAAATCGCGTATCTAATTACAGTCACGTACGTGCCTCATAAAATTTGAGTAGATCCACGAGTTTCGCTAAGGTTTCTTTACGCAGGACGAACTTGTTAGTGTGCAGCTTCGTGGAATTAGATTTCCGTAAGCGTTGGTGTGCTTACGCGCGCCCGCGCCCTGTTCTATCTTGTTTCCAACGAAACTTTTCGAAGCACATCGCAACTATAGACGCGGGAGAGAACACGCGCGCACGTCGTGTCACACGCGCGTTTACACGCGCAGGAAGTTGGACGGTTGCGCTGAAATTGTTTCCACGGGAAAATAGTATGGACGTGCGGTAACCGGCGTCACGATAACGCGTACGGATGTTCCGCCGCGACGCGAAACTTTCGCACGAGCAAATTTACACTTCGATCGCTTCAATTACACGCTGCGACGTCGCAGCCGTGATATCACGCTACGAACAGTCGTTTTTATTATAACGCAGCCCCTTTCAGCATCTAGGACACTTAATATAACGTACAGTGCGAGTAGCGGAAAGTAAAACGAGAGATCACGACTCGCTGTAGCTCCATCGGTTGATATACGTAAAAAGAACGATTTTACTGAAGTATCTAAAAATTTAGGTAGTTCCTGAATCATCAAAGTAATTATGTAGGAAATTCAAGCATGATGAACAATGCTGCAAAATATTTGACATTCTAATCTGACATTTTAATCAGCTTGAGGGTTTTACATTGTACCTAATTATTTTAATGATTCCAATAAAATTATTTTCAGATCAGTATCTAGCTAAATTTTTTAGATACTTTAGCAAAACTGTTCTTTCCATATATGTATAAATATCGAATTTTACGTTAAAAGATTTATTGTATTCGAAATGCGACGATTCCAAAATCGCATCCGATTGTGCGGATAGTATATGGACGAAATTTACGATACTCACTACGGTACGCACTATTCAGGAGTCACGTGTACGGCAAATCGTAAAGTCAAAATGAAAATTTGGTTCGCACTAACTCGGAACTTCGATGTTTATGGTATCTGCGATATGAGCTACTTGGAAACTGTTTTTTTTTTCTTTTTCTAATAAAGCGACGCAACATCTTGTCGCAATGGCAGCGGAGCATTTGCTTCGCAAAATTCCGTTCATAAAACATTTACTAAGCGACGACTTCGCCATATTTATTAATAAATATGCACAGGTTGCACGGAAAAGTTCAAATTTTCGAAATAAACGGAGATATCGTTGGAATAACGATCAAACCATCACGCGATATCAATGCACATTTCCGATCAAGTATAACGGAGCGGAGAACGAGTTTCTCAACGTTATCGTGAAAAGGGCAAAATCCCTGGATCAGTATGCACATAATATAATCCGACATTCTGTAGAAATGAAGAAGTTCGAACAAACGGTCGTTTAAATTCACTTTTTCCTTTGAGCGTCGATTGCACCAGTAACATTACTTTCATTTAATTAAACTTTAATTTCCTGTCTATACTATAAAACTATAAAACTCTAAAGAAAAAGTGAAACAAGAGATCTGTTAATTTAAATTTAATTTGAACCAGTAACGCGCGAATATCAGTCTAATAGATCCTTTTTCGATGCTTATGCCACTGTCGGCTTTCTATTTTATTCACTACAGAGAAATCGATCTGTAACGGAAAATTTGCGATAATAAAAAGAGACGTTAAAGGAGGACTTACCTGCGAAGATTAGGCAGCGGGCCAGCATCCTTCGATCTTGTGGTTGAATCCCACGCTCGACCGAGCTCGATGCCTAGTCTTCAAAGAGGAATGCACGTCCGTTTCAGCGTTACCCAGGTCCTCGTGATCTACCGCGTTGCCGTCGAGTCGTTGCCGAGTCACTGCCGCCGTCGTCGTTCTCGTCGTCCTCGCCGTCGTCGGCGACGTGCACGATCCGCGACGCAGGGACCCGGTGGCGATGGTGGCCGGCGGAGAGAACGAGCGGCGTGTCGTCGCGGTGTCGACGGCGATGCTGCTGCGAGTGCACGCGGTGCATACGCGGCGCGCGGCCGATCTAAAAGCCGGCGACGGTTTAGATATCGCGCGGTGGGTTGCGACGGGGGTGGCAGCGGAAGACCGGGACAACGGGATGAGGGGAGGTGAGGAGGACACAGATAAGTATACCCGAGAGCGGAAGAGGTCCGGCGGAAAATGCGACGCGCGTCTACTACCCTCGCGATGAGAGTCTTTGGCCTCCGGCACCGCCGGCCACGACTGATCGCGCCGGGTAATCCCCCGCGAGTGCCGAAGCGCATGCGTGCCACCCTTTCTCTCGCTACATCCTCTTCGTCGAACGCGGGGTGGTTGCCCCTCTTCATGGAGTTTCTCTCGCGCGAGCGCTGGCTTCCGCCGAGAGGGTGTTGGGGGAGGGGAATGGGTGGTAGGTAGTTGGTGCCGTTGGTGGTACAGGTGCTAGGACGCGGAGAGAAGAGAGGACGCACTCTCGCACACGCATGATGAGATAGCGCTCTCAAATAGCAGACGTGATTTAGCCATTTACAGGCGCTAGTGCTTAGGAAATATTAAACGGTAAAAGCGGTGCATCATTTTTTATTGCTGCAGGTAGCACCAGGAATGGGTATCTATCTATAGCACTTCAATATCATACAGTAGAGATAGTTATATCTCTGATTAATTTATTAAATCACAACCAATGGAAAAGGACGATAATAGTAGAAAGAATTTATTATCTTTGATTTATTAAATTTCCTTCTATCTATACGATAGATTCTGTATTATGGCTTCCTTTCTCTGGGACCCATTCACTCCCTCGGGCTGATTTCCGTTGAGAGGGTTGGCAGGTAGATAGATAGATAGATAGTACAGGTAGATAGAGGTACAGGTATTACGAAGAAAACGGAAAGCAATACGCACTCGTAGACACGGAGCTCATCGCTTCGAGGAGATAACTTTCTCCAACACGAGATTTAACCGTTCATTGGAATGGCACTTCGTACAGTAAGAACGTTACTAAATGATAGAGGTAATTTTCTTATTGCAAATAGCTCTCGGACCTGTTACGTCAACAGTAATTGCAATGCCTGTCTTATCTCTGATTACCCGTCATTTTCTAGATTCCAGCTATGACTAATCTATTTGTAGTATAATAGATGCTATTATACTGCTACTTTATTACACAGCGTACTTAGTTCTACTAATAAACTAAAGACACACGTCTGAAGGCATGATAAGATATTAAGACATGATGAAAAGAGATTAAAACATTTTTATACAGAAAAAATAAACTTTATGCACTAAAAGTTTTGTTTTCAGAATATTTTTGAAAAATTACACTGAGAGAAAAGTGGTTGGTATTTGTGACTGTAATTGCATGTTAAATAAATTTAGTTAGAAACACCATATTTATAATTATTACTGCTATAATGTTAGTAATAATAATTATATTTAGTTCTATACACCAAAAGAATATATGGTTGGCTCCGAAAATGACTACAAATTATAGTCGTCCTCGCGCTTTCCTCTCAGTATAATAAACATGAAAAACGTTCATGTTGAAAACGAGTAAAGTATTTTCGTAATACACGACATAGTCAGCTATGCTATTATGTGTTAAATACTATTGTGTCACAAATCGAAGCATGTCAGAAAGAATGGACGTAGGCAAGATCAATCTTAAAATTGCAACACAGAGCGCAACAACCAACAATTGAAAATTTTTATTTTAACTCCGGTAGAACTTCAATGATTTTATATTTTCTTTATTCGATCATTGTCTCCATGTCTGGATCAACTTCCGTGAGTAGAAGTTATGTTTATATAAAAGTCGATATAATGTAACATAGATTAGAATAAAAATTCGTAGCGCTAGAAGTTTCCAAATTTAAATAATTGTAATTTTGTTAAAAATAAACGAAATTTAAACGTAAAAAAGGATTTTAAAGCTCAAAATTTCTACTTTCGAAAGATCGCTATGTTTCTTGAGTTTTTGAGAGTTTAATAATTGTTATATATAAAAAGCTACTACAATAGTTGGATAAAATGGGAAATTTTCTTCTCGCTTTGTAATTCACGTGCCCAAAAAATTTTCGAAAATTTTCATCTTTCTAACATAAAAGCTTAAAGTTTTTTTTCCTATAAAATCGTTTTTTTAAATATTTCTAAGATTTGTTGTTACTGAATTATCATGGATTAAATAAAAGAAGCATTTTGACTTGATAGCTTATAAACTCATAACCTACATTAAACATTATTGTATCGCACTTCAAAAAACATTCTTAAAACTGAATCTTTGCTATATTATATTGAATGATATAATTGCCAAATTTTTAAAAAATATGTGGATATGATATAAATGAAGCTACGAACTTTTATTTTAATCAATAGAAACATTTGTACATATAGAATTCTCTTGACGAACAATTAAATATAGAGAAATCTCAGAGACAAACGGCTGTTCTTTAACCGCCGCCCGCCCTTACATTCGTTGCGATGAATCTGTTTACGCAAAGGACGAATGAGACGATAGACAAAGGATGAGGCGCAGGTGTCATAAAGGACGCGCCGAAGTATTACACTCGGCGGTATTACTCCGCTCGCACAATACCCACGCGCGTGCATAAATTATCCGCGAAACCGCGGGACCTATGTATTTCCGCCTGCTCCGGAACAAGCGCAAGCCGCGCGTCTCGCAACGGCGCGCGTCTGCGAATTGCCACTTTAATTAATTAGCCGTCTATTTCTTTCCGTATAATTTATTACGAAATGTAATTTTTTTCCTCCTTCTTTCTAAGGCGGCTGTGCGGCCTCTCACCACGCTCGGAAAACGTCAGGGACATTTTTCACGCTCTTTATATTTCTCATGTCATCCCTTCTAATGTGCAAATGAATTTTTACTACACTTTACTCCGGGCCCCTATTAACTATTAGTGCCTCGTACTTCTATCTTCATAATTATATTTTTCATCGCAGCTTTTTTCTTCAATTTATTTCAAGCCAAATCTCTTTGACGCTTCCTATGTAGCACAAGTCATTCTAGCAATTTTGCAGTAATATTGGAATGTCTCGGTAATATTGCAACAACATTGCGTCGTTTTAACAATATTGCAGCAACATTGCAACGTCCCAGTAATATTGCAGTAACATTGGAACGTTTTAGCAATGTTACTGCAAGTTTTTATACTATATGCGCTATATTCTCACTATATTTCTGTGCTATATTCTCATTTTATATGAATATCGAAAAGAATATCTCGATATCTCTTTCGAGGTTTCATGTCGCTCGTTCTGGGCCTCTATTTTTGAAAAGAAACGCATACGAAAAGCTAGGGAAATATTGGGTTAGAGAAAAAGTCTTTTTACAAGTTGGTAAAAAAGACTTTTAGCAACCCATATATTCTGTTTTTAAAAAATTGGCAATTACACCACTTGATAGAGCAACTTTTCAGCTTTAAGAATCTGTATTTTTAATTGCGATACTATGATTTTTAACGGAGTTATAAAGTCAGAATGTTTCTTTTTACTTAATCCGCGAGTAAGTCAGGAATAAAAAATCGTAGGAACATTTTTAAAAACGATTTTGTAAGGAAAGCTCCCAGCTTTCACGATAGATAGTTAAAAATTTGCTCAAATTTTTTTTGGGCACACTACAGACCTACAAAGTGAAAAGAAAATTTTTCATTTTTTTCAGCTCATAGTTTTCTATATGTGAAAATTACAAAACTCACATAAATTCAAAAAATATAGTGACCCTTCAAAAGTAGAAATTTCTAGCTTTAAAACCCTTTCTTTAAAAACGAAATAAATAATTAAAAAAGGACTCCGAGCCAAGCAGGATTATTGTGCTATCAACTCTTAATAATAAAATATTATATATTCTTCTCAGTTATATTAAAATTACAAACGTTTCAACTCATATCGAGTCATTTTCAGTGTACATATATCATATCGATCAATACATGGTAGATCTTGGAATTTTCGTGGCTAGTATGAACGAGCTAAATATCCATTTTACTATATTCTCACCTCAATTGACTCACAGTTATTTAATGTCCTTTAAAAGTCTTTTTACCTTTACTTGTAAAGGGACTTTTTTCCTAACCTAATACTATAGTATATGTTACGTATAATATATTATAGTATATCCCTAGTCTCCGTATACGTTTCTTTTCAAGAATAGGGGCCCTGAACTTCTTGGAAGTGGAACTTTCTATCGATCGCTATGTTTAATTATCCGACTACATGCGTTTTACGATTCGGAGGAGTTTTCGTTATGCGTCTCACAGCTTCATGATGATCGTTGATTGGCGCGCATTATCTACTGTCGTGTACACAGAAATGCTTGTGCAATAGAAACTGTCATCGTCGCTGATATGTAACGTCGCGCGCAATAAAGCTCCGGCAAACGCAAAGGGACACGATCGTGGAGGTGACGAGGGGATGAGACGGCCGAAAGTTTCCGTGTTAAGCGACGGAGTGCTCACAAAGCAGATTCGAATCATAAAAGATGCGTTGTAAAGCTAGAAGCTAGTAAACTAGAGGGACGAGAAGGAAAAGGAAGAAGTAGCGGTTGATGTTCTCGTATGAATTATTGGTAACTGATATGAATAATTCCAGAGTAAAAGTACATGGGTGATATTGAAGAAGTGTTTGTTCGAATAATTTTCTCGTCTCGTAGCGTAGTTTTTATTTATATATTGTAATTACGCGTTATAATCCATCGCTCACCGTCATTATTCAATCATCGTTATTCATCAATCGTTCATTGCTATTAGTAATTAATATTATTATAAATATGCCATCACAATATACTATGTATTAAATTAGTCATTAAATCTTAATTCTATTATTACGTAATACTTTTAACGTCCAGTCTGGGCACAGATTTGAATCCATTGAAATTTGGTTTTGTGATACATTTTTAATATAATTGTGTGAAAATATTTTTATTTAATAAGAGACGAATTACCCGGGAATGTATCTTGATGGTTCGTTTGCTCGTACAGTTATTTATTCAAACCCATTCACTTCGGAGGATTTGTTTCGTTGCCATGGCGAACGTTTAACGCGAGGTCGCGAAGTATACGGAATTTAGTATAACAGTTCGGTAAAGCGAAGCTCTCGAGCTGTTCTCCCATTCGCTCCGTTTCGGGCGAGTACGAGAGCGAGATGGCTTC